GAATGAAGCTACTCTGGGGGAAATGAAATGGAGCATTTGCTATGCTCTCACTTGAATTGCTGGAATTTTCTTGGCATTTTGTATTTTGCATGTACACTTTTGGGAGTTGTTTTTATTGCAAAGGAAGAAAGGGCCTTCCCTGAAGAGTGGCTAAAACCATGGCATTGTGGACTTCCATGTTTGATATGGGAACAGTGATATGCAACAAGGGTGCTAAGAATGCAAATCAAAAATGTGACACCAAAAGAAAGGAGGAAATCCAACCTGCATGTCAGATCCCAAGCTGAGTTATGAAAGGTTTTTACATGTACAACTGAGACAATTTCTATGGAATCACTGCAAGACGAAACAGCCCCTGAGAGCCTCATAATGAAACTTTAACTCACTTTTTGAAGGAGAATCTTATTAAAGTGTAGCTTCTGCTGTTACAACAATGTAAGTTCAGAATAATTCAGTGACAACAGTATCCTAACATGCATGCTTTTCACCAGACTAATGCTACATCACACTTCAGAACAACTCAGGTCTGCCTTCTCTGTGCTCTTTTCACTAGTAACAAGTTTTTGTGGGACCTGTGTCACACCATAGTTTCCCGGTGATCTTGGTCATTATATATGGCTTCTGGTCTGCAAATGGGCATGAATTCATCTTGATGGGAAACAGGGTAAAGCCTTCCCTTTAAGGCTCTTTTGTAAAGCAATTATCTTGGTTCCCATTTTCAGCACGTTGATTGTGGGAATCCCAAAGCAGCCTTTTGGAAAGAATTAGCTCTTTCCCATTTTTCAGTGGCCTTAGGTAGATTGTTTACAAGGTAGAAGAAGTGAATGCAGATGTAGCAGAAAAAACATAGGCTAAGACCTTTAAAAGTGGTTAATGAATTTGGTTGCCTCAGGTCTTCAGCACTGAAAAGGAGGACTGGCTTCTCTACAGAGTGCTGAGCACCAACGCATGGGAATCAGACCCAGTGAAGTTGTCTCAAGTTGGGCACACCGAATCCCTACCTGCTATTTGAAAAATCTTAACCATGACCAAACAGTTCACTTTACCAATTGTCCTCTATGATACTAGAGCAAGTACTTTCTACCATTAAATGCACTGTTCTGGGACACAATATATGCCGGTTACAAATGTCTAGGGAAAACATCAGTGATGTACCTGAAACCCAAAATTTCTCTTTCAAAGTTGGAGGCCCATTACAAACAGCCCCTAACTGAGAAATCCTGGTTTTGGTTTCTTGTGGTTCTGGGGTGTTTTAATCCAGAATTTTGATTCACACCTATCAGTAGAAAAAAGTTTCCAAATATTGCAGAAATGTGTGATAGAAATTAAAAGGGCCCTTGTTTGCTCTATATTAAACGAGAGGTCAACAAGACCTCAAGTGACAAGAGGAAGCACATATTTTCTCTTTTCAATTTTTTTCCTTTTTAAGTACAGCCTTGTTCTTAAAGTGCCTTAATATTAAAGTCTTCTGGACTGTTAGTAGCATTTGTAGAGGAGTACCTAGAGTTCTGATGAGAACATTTATGCAGGTTCAATACCAATGACTAATGTAGTGGCAGGCATGTGCGCACGTACTGTAGGATGATATGGGAAAGAACTGTTATGGTTTTCTATATTTGTATCTAATGCACTAAATGGATGTTCTATAGTTTCACATAGCTGAGGTTCAAATATCCTTAAGCACCCATGAAATCTCCTGGTAAGATGCTTCACACGTTCAAACACAAGTTGGGCTGTAGGGCCCTCAGAATCCAATTGAGCCCCTGGATGGAATGGCCATGAAGAGTATTCAATACAGAAGCAGAGAACTATGAGATTGTCAGCAAGCAGTGAGTGCTCCATTGATTATTTTTAATAGTATAGTTAGTTTTAAATCTTTGGACTAAAACTCAATTTTCTCTCTTTTTTTTTCTTCATTGTTACATCATTGCCTCCCAAAAGATGGTTAGATTTTGGTCCATGTCTCATGCCCCAAAGTGTTCAACTGACAGTCAGTGTTTATAACAAACTATGAGCAAAATAAACATCTTTCAGGTAGATTCAATCTCTGACTGGAACAAAGGCTGCACAAAAGCTGAGAACGTAAGTACCAATGATTCCAGTGGTGGTTCTTACATTTTACAGCTATGGATTTTTAAGAGTTCATCCCAAAAGGGAAATATTTAACAGTCAATGAGTCAAAACAGTCAAAAGATGGCAGTTGGCTAATACAGCATAAATGAGCAGCAACCATTTGTGAACCACATGCCATTTTGTGTCCTTTCTAGACAGGTCTTGTAGGGAGGGTTCCAGAATATACAAAATATACAATCTGTCCTTATGACTACCCCACCTGCTTGCACAGGCCATTTTATATGGTCCTAGAGGCAGTCTTTGGAGTTAGGGCCAGTACCAACTTGCTATAAATGCAAGTTGTGTTTATATATCTATGTTACTTTTAATTTTGTTTTTTTAAACAAGAAATTTAGTCCACTATGAGCCAAGATGATCAAATTATCTACAGGATTCAAGGGTGAGTGGAAGGCGTCCACTGATCCTTGCTGGTACAGACAGAAGGCCAAACTAGACCCATGCTACCAATACTTTAGACCAAACACTTGAAAAATCTTCAGTGCTGTGCACAAAATCCAACCCTTCATTCACCCTTTAAATAGTCTTATAATTTTTTATAGGAGTGGGCAATACCATCACCTTGAATGGGAATGGGAAAGGGAAAGGAGGATGTCAATCTTTCCTTTCAAAGATTAATGCTGAATAAAGCCACTTTATCTGGAAGAGGTTCACACTTTCCCACTGTGGTACTGGAGTAGTATTTTTGGCTTTTTTTTTTTTAAGATGCTTACCCAAAAGTTAGGTTAGAAACTTGAATGTTTGCAGGTGTTCTTTTAACAAATAAAATTCAATGTTTTAAATTGGTCATTTGAACAACAAGATCACACAACACAATTTGTCAATCACTGTGAACTGTAGCCAACATGCTCACGTGGTTCTGAAGGAAAGCTGTAGTCATGGCTGATTGGCCAGTCCAAGACAGATAAGCCGGTGAAAAAAACGAGTTCTGAAGATCACTTGTTCATGGAGAAAAGATAAAATGTCTAAGCTATCACATGAGCTTTTCAAGTTTTCATCAGACAAACAAGAAGTCCCACCTATAGCAATAAGGTGATGCCTATGGAGATATAACATGATGTTTTCTCAGGGACTCTTCCTTTGGCCGCTTTCCAGTCATGCCAGCCACTTCTATAGTCCCTACCAGCGCATACAGCGTGCAATAGCCAAAAAAACCCAAAAAAACACAGCCCACCAAAAAACAAAAATATTGTCCTCCATGAAGTCTACATAAACTCAGGCCAAACAGATGATGTATGTGTCACAGGTGTCACTCCACAGTCAACTGCCATTAAGGCCATTGGTATTGACTTAAAAGGATCTTAATTGCTCAGTTCTAGGAAGAACCAAAACCAAGACAGATCAGTGTCTGAAAAGTTTGACATGTTGAACATTAGGAATTCGCAGAAAAAGAACAAAAGAACCAAGAGGTTAATTTTGGCTACCAAACTGGGATTTGGTTTTCTAGGTCATTATTCCCCTCCTCCCCTCACCACCCCCATCTATTTAAAAAAGAAAAGTTAGTGCTACAAATATGCAACTTCAAGATGACATTCTCCTATGGAGTTGCATTGAGAAGCAAGTTAAATAAGCCCCTCCTACTTGCTGTCCACCTGCAGAGAAGCTTCTTCCATTTACTTTGATTTCCATTGGCAATAACAGGAAATAAATCCAAGAGTGATGAAGTACTGTAAGCAACTGTTCTATCTTACTGACTTCATCCCTACCCTATTTTCTTTCCTGCATCTTCTTCCATCCAGCTGGGGCAAGGCAGAAAGAACAGATGTAAGTATTTAAGTATAGTTGGGTGCACGACAGTGTGAGTGTGGGTCTGTGTACAGAGGTTTACATGTGATTGGGTTCTCTTCTTCTGCAAGGCAGCAGCTTATAACTGAGTTCCACCCTTCATGCTATGTCTTTTAGCTCAGTGGCCATCTAGGCCATGCTGACGGATTTTAGGTACTTAGATGTGTCTCTTCATGTGGAGGGCAAGATGGTCAGACCTGGAAAAACACCTGTAAAACAAAGACAGAAATAATTAAGGATTTTACAAAACAGTCCTTTCTGCTCCTCCACCATCCTATAGAAGAACAATGCTCACCCAGATTTACAGCAGTTCCCTGGAACGTGCCATGTGTTGTCACAAAGCCAAGCCAATTTTTCCTCCACTGTTCAGGATAAATAGCTATGCTGGCTCTTCCATTACTAGACTGTTCTCCCTTGCCCCAACCAAACCAGATTTATACAATCGGAAATTGGTGAGTGGGCAAGCAAACTCATTAACCAAGTAGCTGTAGTAATAAAATTAAATAAGTTTGCTTATTATGTAGGTTGGGTCAGATTTTTCAAGTGTTCAGCACTGTTAGGGTGTGGCCATATCTTCAAAAGATCTTAGCACCCACTTAGAGATCAAAATAAGAGGTCAGATCTGAGGGCTGAATGAGCTCTGTTGGAAATCTGGTTCATAAACCCTTCTATCTAGAATGAGTGCTACACAGATACTGATGAAGTTTAGTCTCACAACATCACTGAGGGGTGATCATCCCCATTTTACAGATGAGGATGCAGAGGCACAGTGAGATACAGAATTGAAGAAGTCGAGCAAACCCAGCAACACATTTCAGGTCTTTGGGTTTCTAGTTCTGGGTTTCATCACCAAGGCCATTTTATCTTTATTTCGCCTTGGGTCAGATGCAAATCAGGTTGGCACTTGTAGGACCACAGATGCATGACAGTGCTGATGAGAGTTTCTCAGAATTGAAGCCCTAGTGAATGAAAACCTCTCTCTAGTCACAACATTAACACAATGCTTTGCTCCACCAAACTGTATTTACTGTGACTGAACTTCAGAGAAAAATGGGTAACTCCTTCTTAATGCCCACTTGATCCTTGACTGTTCTGCTAACATTTCAGCAAAGAAGAGGGACCATTAGGGCCAAATGTGACATGAACCCACAATTCATTGCACATTGGCCACCCAAATGGCACTAAGCAGCTGTAGGCCAAGATTTTCAGAGGTGCTTCATGAGGTCTGTTTCCAAAAGGCAGGTACTGGGAATTTTCTGAAAAATATGGACTCATTAAGATGGTTCAGATGGGGCACTCAAAATCTGAGGTGCCCAAAACTGCTTGGAACTTTTGAAAATCTTAGTCTTCACTCTTGTCACTCTAAGCTGTAACACACTGGGTTACAGGCTAGAGTCACAAGAATCCACCAAAACTCCTAGTTCTTTGTCATCTCAACCCCATGTACATTGTGGCAGGCCACATCCAGAATTAACAGGTCTCTGATGCTTTGAAAATTCATTGCCTGCCACACAAAGCCACATTACAAAATAAACAATGACAGACACTTTTTATTAAAAAAGCTTGTTGGTAGAACATGTACTGTGCACGGATTTGTGCTGAATAAATTACAATAAAAGCAATAGTTGAATTGTTTGCATTTCTCGGTAATAAGCAGAGAAGCAGGGAAGAAAATTAAGTCAGTCATTGTTTTAAAAAACTATTAAAGAAAAACATCCAGATGAATGGGTCCCATCTATGCTGTGAGCCTGACACAAAGAAAGAATCAGAAAAACCAGAGGGCAAAGACCTGATAGTACACTTAGTCTGGTCCTTTTGCCATTATCCTCTAATTCTTTGTATGCCTATTACTACTTGTATCTAGGGGTGAGAAAATATAAATATTTGTAAGAGCAGAAAATCTGCAAGAAGACACCCTTCACATATGTGACCAGATCTTCAATAGGTGTAAATCAACATAGCGCCAGTGTAACGAGTGATGCTAAGTTGATTCACACCAGCTGAAGACCTTGTCCATACTTCTTTATAAAGCATAGTAGGAAAAATTTAAAACAAAATTTAGAATGTTATGGAGCTGGAATACTGCATTCCTTTATGTTCCAAGGTGAAGTATGAGTGTGTTAAACCTGCAGAGAGAAACAGAGAGGAAAGCTTTACAATTGAGCATGGGCTTCTAGTACAGAAAACTCACCAGAGCTAGTACTGCCCAGCTGCAGGGTAGCAATGTGTCTTTGAACAGCTATCCCTCTCATCTGGATAACAGAGAAAGCAGCATGCTACTGTGGCTGCCAAAGCAGAAGTGGGTGCCTGGAGCAGGCATTGGCTGGCATTTTATACTAATGACCAGCCACAAGACAACTCTCTGTCCACTGCTGCTCCTGTTGGGGCCTGCTAATAACCAGAGGCAATGCTGATCAAAAGTCTGCTGAGCACCTGACATGCAAGCTGTGCTGATATTAATAACAGAGCCAACAGAATCATAGAACACCAGAGGTCTACGAGTCTAGTACACACCATTGTCTAGATGGTACACACCGGAATCATGTTTGCTTTTTTTGCAACAGTGTCACACTGTTGACTCATTTAGCTCGTGGTCCGCTATGAGCCCTAGATCCCTTTCTGCAGTACTCCTTTCTAGACACTCACTTCCCATTCTGTATGTGTAAGACTGATTGTTCCTTCCTAAGTGGAGCACTTTGCATTTGTCCCGATTAAACTTCATCCTATTTGCCTCAGACCATGTCTCAAGTTTGTCTAGATTATTTTGAATTATAACCCTATCCTGCAAAGCAGTTGCAACCCCTCCTAGCGTCGTATCATCTGCAAACTTATTAAGCGTACTCTCTATGCCAATATCTAAAACGTTGATGAAGATATTGAACGGAACTGGTCCCAAAACACACCCCTGTGGAACCTCACTTGTTTTGCCTTTCCAGCAGGATTATGAACTGTAAATAACTACTCTCTGAGTACGGTTATCCAGCCAGTTATGCACCCACCTTATAGTAGCCCCATCTAAGTTGTATTTGCCTAATTTATTGATAAGAATATTATGCGAGACCATATCAAATACCTTACTAACGTCTAGATATATCTACTGCTTCTCCCTTATCCACAAGACTCGTTATCCTATCCAATAAAGCTATCAGATTGGTTTGACAGGATTTGTTCTTTACAAATCCATGCTGGCTGCTCCCTATCACCTTATTATCTTCCTGGTGTTTGCAGATGAATTTCTTAATTACTTGCTCCATTATCTTTCCTGGCACAGAAGTTAAACTGACTGGTCGGTAGTTTCCTGGGTTGTTGTTATTTCTCTTTTTATAGATGAGCACTATATTTGCTCTTTTCCAGTCTTCTGAAATCTCTCCCATTTTCCATGATTTTTGAAAGATGATAGCTAGAGGCTCAGATACCTCCCTTATCAGCTCCTTGAGTATTCTAGGATGCGTTTCATCAACCCCTGGTGACTTGCAGACATCTAACTTTTCTAAGTGATTTTTAACTTGTTCTTTTTTAATTTTATCTTCTAAACCTACGCCCTTCCCAGTAGCATTCACTATTTTAGGCATAACTTCATCAGACTTCCTGGTAAAGACCGAAACAAAGAAGTCATTAAGCGTCTCTGCCATTTCTGAGTTTCCTGTTACTGTTTCTCCCTCCTCAATGAGCAGTGGGCCTAACCTGCCCTTGGTCTTCCTCTTGTTCCTAATATATTTATAGAATGGCTTCTTGTTTCCTCTTATGTCTGTATCTAGTTTGAACTTGTTTTCTGCCTTTGCGTTTCTAATCTTGCCCCTGCATACCTGTATTGTTTGCTTATATTCATCCTTTGTAATTTGTCCTAGATTGCACTTTTTATATGACTCCTTTTTCATTTTTAGATCGTGCAAGATCTCCTGGTTAAGCCAAGGCGGTCTTTTGCCAGACTTTCTATCTTTCCTACGCAGTGGAATAGCTTGCTTTTGGGCCCTTAATAATGACCCTTTGAAAAACTGCCAACTCGCTTCAGTTGTTTTTCCCCCTTTGTCTTGCTTCCTATGGGACCATACCTACCACCTCTCTGAGTTTACCAAAATCTGCCTTCCTGAAATCCATTGTCTCTAATTTGCTCCCTTCTACCATTTCTTAGAATCATGAACTCTATGATTTCATGATCACTTTCACCCAAGCTGCCCTCCTCTTTCAAATTCTCAACCAGTTCCTCCCTATTTGTTAAATACTTTGATTCGTATCAATAACTTCATGTTCTGTCCCAATATATTTTAACACCTAAAATAATGATACTCATCCCGCAGACTATAGCCCACCTCATAATTCACGTCGCTTCATCTATTGGGGAGGCTCCTTGAGGTGGAGACATAGTTTCAAGGCGGGGGAGGGGAAGTACCTGCAAAACTTTATAGCGAAATCCTACCATCAAAATATGCAAGCCAGATCTGCAGCTATTAAACTGCTGAGGTCCAGCCACATTTTTCTTTCTTAGAACTGGGGGAGCTGTCTTCATTAGGTTCAGAGAGGGTTCCATGAGGGAAAACCCTGTGGATCCATGATCTTCTGCTGGATAGGACCTTGTCTCCACAACTTTTCCAGCTCTACAGCATTACTGTATGTTGTACCTGGGCCCAGCACGTGCTACTTCCAGGATGCAGAAAGGCTGCCTGTGTCTGTTTATTGTTCCTAGCAGGGCAGCTTGCAATGTTTTAACGTATCATCATTCCTGATGCGTTTGCACGGGACACAAACTGCCTGCTCCCAAATACTCCCCATATTGCCTGCTCTCAAACATGGCACTGGGTTTCATCTCAGAGGAACAAGATGCAGATGGGATGAGATGAAAACATCATTTCAGTCACCTTTTTCCTCTGACCAGATCCTCTGAAGTGGGATATGGTCAGTTTGGTAAACCACTTACCCCTCCAGCTGTGTGGAGGGAAGCACATGGCTCTTAGGCTGCAGTCAAGGAGGCTATATTAACATCAATGGCTCGTGGATGACACTAAGCTGGGGGAGAAGTAGATACACTGGAGGTCAGGGATAGGGTGCAGAGTGGCCTGGACAAATTGGTTGATTGGGCCAAAAGAAATCTGATGAGGTTCAACAAGGACAAGTGCAGAGTCCTGCACTGTAGAATCCCAAGCATTGGTACAGGCTGGGGACTGACTGGCTAAATAGCAGCTCTGAAGAAAACCTGGGGATCACAGCAGACAAGAAGCCAAATATGAATCAACAGTGAGCCCTTGTAGCAAGAAGGTTAACAGCATATTGGCTGCATTAGTAGGAGCATTGCTGGCAGGCCGAGGGCACACTGGTGGGGCACATCTGGGTTTTTTCCTCCAGAAAGGAAAAGTCCAGCGGAGGGCAACACAAATTATTAGGGGCTGGGGCACATGACCTATGAAGAGAGGCTGAGACAACTGGGCTTATTTAGTCTGCAGAAGTGAAGAGTGAGGGGGGATTTGAGAGCAGCCTTCAGCTTCCTGAAGGGAGGTTCCAAAGAGGATGGAGAGAGGCAGTTCCCAGTGGTGGCAGATGGCAAAACAAGGAGCAAAGGTCTCAAGTTACAGTGGGGGAGGTCTAGGTTGCATAATAAGAAAAACTATTTCCCTAGGAGGGAGGTGCAGCACTGGAATGGATTGCCTACAGAGGTGGTGGAATCTCCATTCTGAGATTTTTCAGGCGCAGCTTTTCAAAGCCCTGGCTGGGATGATTTAGTTGGGTCCTACATTAAGCAGGAGGCTGGACAGGATGACCTCCTGGGGTCTGTTCCACCCTTAATCTTCTATGATTCTGTGATACAGCTGGAGAGTTTTACTCCATGTTTCCCTGAGCTGAACATACTTGACAGTTGTGACCACTGCTTACCTGGGTGTTCTGACACAGGGTATCTGAAAAGCTTCTCTACAAATTCTTCAGTAACACTAATAAGTTATAACCAACATGGCTGGGCAGTCTGGCACACTGGGCAGTCTTATCTTCTTGTGTGACACTACAGTTCCCTCTAGAAGACTTTCTCGTCTTCTGCCTCTAGAACATCCGCCCTACACACAAACACACACACACACACACACACACACACACACACACAATATGTCACTCCTCAAGACAGTGGTAGTTTGCCAACTAAAACTAACAATACAATCTGTGTCCTGCCAGAGGTGGGGGCAAAATTAAACAATTCATTCTAAATGATCTTATTTTTCCAGAAGGAACTTCAGCTGTTAATCCTCTTTCACAACAAAGAGAGTTGTTTTTGCACCCAAGGCCAAAGCTCTGATACAAAACCAACTGAAGCAATTGGTCCTGGAACATGCCCTGAGCCCATTTACGCTAAAGACTCAGTGCACCTGAAATTTCAGTGCATCAGCAAGAAGCCACCAACATTGTTTGAAAAAAAGAGTGTGCGTGTATGTGTGCATGCATGCTCTTCGGGGGGGGGAGAAAACAAAGTGACAGACTTCTAACTTCCTGTTCCCCCTCACTTCCGATATGTGTTCTCTTTAAAATTATCTTCTTGGCTGAAAGTGTTTTGGATTGCAATCTAGTATTCATCTTAGCTGTGGAAACCTGCATCCCCGAAACCGGGTTTTTTAATGGCTTTGGCTCACACACATAAACACTTTCTCCACTGCTCATTCAATCGCCTTGTTCATGCTTTCACCAATGTACTCGCCTTCACCTCTGCAGAGTTGTGTGCAGTTGGTCTTGACTACATCAGCGCTGCTGAAAGCCATAGCTAAAGGCTACTTAAAGCTCAGAAAAAGGAAGTTTACTACAGGCAAGGACCTTCTGTCATTAGTCGAGGGTAAAAAGGAAGAGGTTAAAAAGAAAGGTCAGAATTTTAGAGTTGGGGAAATTGGATTCTCACTATTGGTACCTTTAACTCCAGAAAGCAGCCTCTTAGAATAAAAATTAAAAACACCAATGTCCTTTTACTTCCCAGGGATATAAAAGGCAAGACTCCAGAGGGGGCTGTTCTTGGTTTATCCTTTATCATTCTGAGCAAACAAAAGATAATCCAGGGATAAAAGACAGAGAAAGCTCTTGGTAGAGAATGGGGAGGGAGAGAGGAGGGTGAGGATCTTGGAAAGACAGGATGTGCAAATGTTCAAATTTCCTCCCCTTCAAAGGATGTGTTCTGTTTATGCTCTGTGTATCTTTTTCTATGCATGTTCTTGGCCCGTCTGGTGTGTCCAGAGGCTTTATAAACTCTAGATTGTATTATAAACCATTTTCTTATCATAACGGAGAACCTTAGTGCTGCATTAAAAGATGGGTAATTTTCTTAAGCCTCTTTAAAATATATATAAATAGGATTAGCTGGATAACATGTTCCGATGCAAGCACATTATTTGATTAAGTCTATTCTGGATCCAGCTTTCACCAGGGGCATTGTCAACTTTCAGGGTTTTTTGGGGGGAAGGGAGGGGGTTATTGTCTGATAATGTCAGTGCTGTCAAATATGATTACTTGGGTAGTTTCTCTCTTGCTCCACCCCAATTATATATAGTTATAAAGAGCCAGATTTTTTTTTTTCCAAAATGCTCAGCAGCCGCAATTGGGACCAAATTCTCAGAAGAGCTCTGCTTCCATTCAGGCACTCAAATGAAGAGGCCAGACATTCAAGAGGAATCAGCAGCTAGCAGCTCCCATTGTTCTGGGTGACAGCTGCTGAGCAGACAGCCCTCTAGGCAAATCCAGCCACCTCATGTGTAGGTGCCCAAATGAGAGTTGCTGGACCAGGGGTCCTTTGGAAAATCTGCCTTTGGGCACCTATCCCTGCATCTAGGTACTTACAACGACAGATGAATAATATTAAATCTATAGCACCACAGGAAATGGAAGTCATCAAGTGTGTGATTTAAAGGTGAGAGGCTTCGATTCCCAGTCAGTGTGAATAGTCGTGGCTCTTTTGTTTAACTCAACACCTTACGGTAAAATTTTCAGAAGGGCCTAAATCACTCAGGCACTTTTGAAAACATCGCCCTTTGTTTCCCAGGAACTGTCCTTCCACCTGTGAGTAGGAAGAGGGGCAAACAGAGTCACGTACTCAGTTAACTAAAACAATGGATCAATGATAGAAATGGGAAAATGCTATCAGCCCCCTCAAGTTACTTCTAGGTCTTGGGTATCCTCTCTAGTCACCTGAGCACCTGTGAGTGCCCTGCACTCTCATTTTAGGCTGTGTTGACTTCCTTCCACCCTGGTTTGAGAGATTTGACAGTCCTCCGGCGACTGCCTTTAAAGAGGGGTGTGGGTGGGAATAATTGTTAGTGGGGGGGCACTCCAAGATTTTGGTAAGTGGTCAAAGGCCACACTTCTGTGGAGGAGGTGCAGGTGGTTGGAGAGAAAGGGGGTAGGGTGCCAGAGGCAGGCTCTGGCTGGGAGGTGCTTACCTAGGCAGCTCCCAGCCAGCATCTCTGCAGGAATTCTGCCTGTGTGCTGGGCAGACTGTTCCACATGGCTCTGCTCCAGCACAGGGAGGGAGGGAGGGAGCGAGCAAGGACAGAGTGAGGAAGCTTCATTAGGGGTCACCAAAAGAAATTAACAGGCAGCAGGTTTAAAACAAACAAAAGGAAGTTTTTCTTCACTCAGCGCACAGTCAACCTGTGGAACTCCTTGCCAAAGGATGCGGTGAAGGCTAGAACTTTAACAGGGTTAAAAAAAGAGCTAGATGGATTCATGGAAGTTAGGTCCATCAAAGGCTATTAGCCAAGATGGAGTAGGAATGGTGTCCCTAGTCTCTGTTTCTCTGGAGGTGGGTGACAGGGGAACGATCACGTGAGGATTACGTGTTGTGATCCCTCCCTCTGGGGCATCTGGTATTGGCCACTGTCGGCAGACAGGATAGTGGGCTAGATGGACCTTTGGTCTGACTCAGTATGGCCTTTCTTGTGTTCATTCGCTGCCCCTGCCTTCAGCAAAATTTCTAAGCTCCTATTAGCCATAAACTGACCAATGGGAGATTAGAGATTTTGCTAGGGGGTGGGGACAGTGTACAAAGCTTTCTCCTCCCTGACAAGACTGCATAGCAATTAGCAGCCTGCTGTTTAAAGTGGCTGCAGCTGGGTGAGGGTGCTGGAGAGGTGGCTTGTGGGCCAGATCCAGCAGCTTGGTGAGCTGAATCGGCCCACTAGCCGCCTCTTGCTCACCCATGTTTTACAGGGTCCAGGAATCCAAGAGCCAGTTTTGTAAGTGAGGAAGGGCAACTGGGAATTCTGTCTTTTGCTGCTGCCCCAGTCACATGGGATCTGAGTGGGAAAGCCGAATGTTGTTGCAGCTAGCAGGCTGGGCAGAGTTTATGCATATTAAAGCAAGATTTTGCTAAACAACAAAGTTGTGCATAGCAGGGCAAAATCGTCCTCCAGCCAGGCTACGTCTAGACTGCAGGCTTTTTGCGCAAGAAGCTTTTGCTGGAAGAGATCTTCTGCAAAAACTTCTTGCACACGAGCACGTCCACACTGCAAAAGCGCATTGGAAAAGTGATGTGCTTTTGCGAAAGAGAGTGTCCAGACTGCCTGGATGCTCTCTCATAAGCAAGCAGTGACTGCCATGGACAGAATGGCTACTGGAGCACCTGTGCTTTTTCCTCTTCCCTCTTTTTGTGCAAAAAACCCGCTTCCCCGTCCACACATGCCTTTTTGTGCAAGAGCTCTTGCACAAAAAGGCGTTCTTCCTCATAGAACGAGGATTACCAATTGCACAAAAACCCCTCTGATCTTTCAATTTACTGGCACAAAAATGCTCTGCGAGTTTTGCAGAAAAATGGCCATTTTTCCGCAAAAACTCTGTAGTGTAGACATAGCCTCAGAGTCAATGGGAAAAACTCCCAGTGAGGTTTCTGGAACCTCAATCTGACCTGGAGTCTGTGCTGCTGCTTTAGGTATCCATAATAAAAGAACTGAAAAAATGAGTTGCTGGTCTCAGCCTAAAGGACAGTGGACAAACATCCTGTTCCTTCCCACCCCCACCTACCATGCCTGGCCATCCTGCTGAGCAGTAAAGAAGAAAGCTTCGAAAGGGCAAGACCACACTGTGGATGCGCTGTAAGGAAACATGCGCTGTTGCTGCGCGTGCTGTGTGGAAGCCAGAGGCTTGGGTTCCCGGGGGCTGGCAGTGCGCTCACACTATCAGTACGCTTTCTTGAACACTACATTTAGAAGATTGTATTACCTGTCACAATGGTTGCATTTAAAGGGTTTTGCGCCTGTGTGTTTCCTGTAGTGCCTCGTGAGTTCGTCGCTACGTGCAAAACGCCACTCGCACCCTTCCCATGAGCACTTGTAAGGCTTCTCACCTGCAGGGGGATGAGAGATCAGTCAGCACGGCAATGAAATTACTACTGCCTGGTCCTTCCAGCCCTTTGCCCCACACCTGGCAGCCAACTCTATTCCACATATGAAGCTGCAGCGCCCACCAGAAGCCATGTCTTTGCCCCCGCCAGACAGGCCTTTGCTTCCCAGCTAACCACATAGTGCATGAGCACCATTGGTGTTGCCCTACATGTATCCTTTTGCCCCACGCCTGGCTGCATGTCATGCAAGCACCAATCACTGATATTTACTCCAACTCTTCAAATCTATGGCAGACTCCCAAAAGGAACTGCCCATTCTGAACCTCTTCCATAGGCTGATTTCCCAGTGACTTGGACAGACAGTCCCCAACGTCATTACATCGTAGACTGTGACACTACCTTGCTGGAAAAAATACTGTTTATTAAAAACAAAATGGCAAACCCCCCACCCAAACACCCCACACCTGTGTCGGCAAGATCTCGTTCTCAATTCCTTGAGCTGGCATTACACAAATTTGGTTATTGCCCATGCAAGTGGCTATTGTTGTACACCAACTGGCTGCATGCCTGGGCAATCATGAGAATGGAGCACAACTACGTGTGTAATGAAACCCATGGTGCTTAAAATGCCATGTAAGTACAAGTAATGCTCTAGGTCTGTCTTTCAGAAATTGCCTTTTCTCTCCCCTTCCCCATACCAGCACTCTCATCTGCTCCCACCCCATATCTTTTATCCCCCCCTTAGATGCACCTGCGTAGTTGATTAGAAAGTAAAAATGCTGTTTCCATGCTGCAAGAGCAAGAGGAGAAGTGTTCTCTTTAAATCAGTTAATCCGACAGGCTACTGTGACTGATTAGCCAGCTGTTATCTTCAGGGCTCTCTCTCTCTCTCTCTCTCTCTCTCTCACACACACACACACACACACACACACACACACACACACCCCCCTTGAAGACAGTGAGGCTGCAGGAGTTAGAAGTCAGTGTAGAACCTGCTCCGCAGTGTTAATTTCCTACATTTGATAAGACACCTGGTTCTGGGGGCCAAATGCAGCTCCCATGACCTCAATCAAGTGTGGTTCTCCAATGCCTTTAACACTTTAGTTTCCAGGGTATCAGTAATGGCCCTATTTAGCACCTTTAGAATGATAAACAGATCCAGAATTCATATTTCTAACTTTACATGCAAGAATGGTACATGCACAAAAATATGATATACAGATTCAGCAGACTGTAATGTTCAAATCAATGTTACAAGATACATTTTGCATAAAGCATGCATGAGTTATGCATATTCATCAAGCATGGGGGGCCATGACAGGTGCTTCTTTAAATCTATCTCACGCTCCCACTTGGTTACTGCAGATTTAAATACCAAATACAGTGTGTCAGGGCTCTCTGTGTAATGTATTTACCATAGAGTATATTCAGAAGGTATCTGAGAGAGATCTGAATACTCCATAGTCTGAAGCTGGGAGTGTCACATGCTTCAACATAAGCAAACAGGACAAGTCAGAAAAATGTGAGGACCAAATTAATTGCTGGTGTAACTTGACTGACTTCAGCAGTTACTCCAGGAACTGATTTGCCTCCGTATGTTTAGGAAAAGCTTCTCTGTGACTAGTCATTTACCAAACATTATTGATTACAGGCTGGGCTCTGCTGCTCCAAAGATAAAGTGGAAAGCTGGCACGGAGAGGAGAGGAGAGTGGGCTGGGATATCTACCAGAGGTCAGCAATTCAAACCTTTTATCTTCAACTCAGGTTTGAAAAGCAACATCCATAAAAAATGTGTGCGGCATCATTCCTATTAGAAGAGGAAACCCTACATAAAGCTGCAGCAGGTGGAGAAATGCCAAAGCACAAATCGATCCATCAGTCAAGCAATCTCAGTCTACAGGTCCTACAGAATAAAAGGGAGGGTGATCATAGAGGGTTCAAAAAAGAGGCAGCAGGATTTTCATTTCAGATCCTATTCTCCCCGCAGCTCCATCTAGGTGCTGTTGTCCCCTCTTCCATCCCCCAACTACAATATGCAAATGTACAAAACAGAGCCCAGATATTTTAAGCCAATCATGAACATTCACCACACTACACAGATAACATTCCTCTACAGATGTAAGCCAAAAGACCTAGAACAGCAGGTCCCTTGTGTGTTGTAGGACCTAGGTAAAAGAGGCCAATGAACGATGCCTGTATTTATATGTGCTGCAGTATTTCATAGGACGCCCTAATTCTTTTCTGATCAGTGTGTTCCAGCTGATCATTTTGGGGTTAGACTTTAAAAATAAAAGAAACCCCAAAGAAACCAAGGGCTCACGACAATGAAAAAACAGAATAAACACAGCACAGGCCAGACTGGAACAAGCTAGACACATTGGTAGAAATTTGTTAGAAAGGAGCTTTCTGCTCAAAAAGGCATTAGAAGTTCTTATTTCCACGGGGCCCCATATCACAAATAAGGTGCCAAGCTCAGCCGCAGCCCCAACACTGCCCCCAGTGCAGCTCTGAGTGGGGAATCTTTTTTGGGTTGAGGGCCGCTGACTCACAGAAAAATCAGCTGGGGAGCATACACAAGTGAGAAGCAAAAACCAAACCACACAAACCCTCAGTGGCATTGCCCTCGCACACCAGAGCCCAGGGGAACCTAGGCTAGCCAACTGTGTGCTCCAGCCCCATGGGGGGATGGCGGGTGGCTGGAGCACCAGCTTGGGCTCACCCATCCCTGGGGGAGCCCTGAGTTTCAGGGGCTGGATCAGGCAAGCAGGGAGCCGCATCCGGCCCCTGGGCCTTAGGGTCCACACCCGTGGAGTAGATCAAGGGCACTATTTGCATGCTGCCCTCACTCTCCCCTGGCATAGAAAGTGGATGCTCAGAAACGACTCCTCATATTTTGGGCTCGTCCCTGGTGCTGGACCATTCAGCGGTTGAGGCTGCCGTAGGATGAGGAACATGTTTTTAAAAGCGGAACGCCATGGTGACCAATGGGGGTAATGTGCCCGATGACAATCATTTAGCTAGCTTGGCTGCAAGAGACAAGATGCCTCACTCGCAGTGGAGACAGCAAGGCAGATGTGTTTCTGCGTGGCTGTGCATTTGCTGCATACACTATGGAGAGAGTGAGAGACACTGACGCTTAGTTCAAAACTGGCAGGTACAGCCTGCCTAGCACGCAATCTCCTACAGACACACAAAGATTTGTCTAATTAACATTTGTCAAGGGCTTTCAGAAAGCAGAGTGATAGATTTAGACCAGTATAGCCCAGCATTCATTCTGGTAGGCCCGTCTACAATACATGAATGGGTGGCATACTACATATCTCTGTTGTTTATGCTCCAGGGGTGCGCTCACTCACATGTCTCTCATTTGGCTTCACAAAACATAGGGTCTAGTTTTGTTTTCAGATTCTCTTCCTCTGTAACATGTCATGCTCTGCCAATGTCAGACAGCGCTCCTTTGTGCTCCCAGCCAGTGTGCTCGCTTGCAGTCATCCGGATGGCATAACAGAAAGGCAAGAGAGCCTGTGACCTTTAAGCCATGTCAAAGAGAGAAACTTGACCCACAGACCTGAAAGAGATTTCCCCCGCGCCTGACAGCCATTTTAAAAATGAGAAGCTGGGGCTGGAGAGAGATTTCCCAAAGCAGCTCTGTGCACAAAGGAGAAGAACTAACAACCATATCTTGTCATTGCTGCTTCGCTTTCCCCTACTGTAGATAACGTTGAAGGCTACTGGTTAGCTACAGGTCCCAGAAAAGGAGGGGTGTGTGTTTTATTATTGGTAATGGTGGAAAAAGAATGGTGAGGGATGAATACCACACACTCTTTTGTTTTAGTAGAGGATACGTGCAAATAAAGTGCCTGGTGAAATAATGGCTCTACTGAAGTCACTGGCAAAACTCCCAATAAGGCCAGACTTTTCACCCTTTAATGTTATAAAATAAAATAAATTAATACATCGGGAGTGAGTATGCCCCCCCCCCCCACACAAGCACTGCAGCAGTCAAAATATGTCAGTTGAAACGTGTTTTGTGCAATCATGATGTTTAATTTGACCTGATGCTGCAGTGAACTCTGTATGGAAAAGATCCTTGGGGTCTACACACTAAGGATATTAAAATGCGGTTAATTGACTAGCCAACTAGTTGATGGAATTTCCATCGACTAGTCAACAGGCATGTCCGCATTCCTCCTTTGAAAGGTAAAAGAGCTCCCACTGGGACTCTTGTACATTTCAAAGGAGGAATGCAGAACTCCGCGTACAGCCCGGGGCCAGCTGGTCATCCAGTCCACATAGTTCCCTACTGCATGGCACACAGTTTGGTTGCCAAAATAAGTGGATCTTATTTTCAGATCCTTTCATTCCTAAATATGCTTCTAATTGATTTTTACTAAGAAATGGAAAATGCCTTTTTATTTAAATGGACAGCATTTAACTCTTGCATCATTCTTTTTCTGCCTATATAAGAATAGTTTTATTCATTACCGTTTTGGCACCAGCCAGAAAGATAACTACTGTCTCAAAAGTACAAAGCAAATGGACATTAGGTAGAATGCAGAGGAGAGTCAAATGCACAGTGAGACAAGTTTGTGACTCTCTTTAGGTCAATAGGGATGATTATGTTTTTAAAATACGTATTTGCATGTACACAATACAGATCTTTTCATTTAAAATACTCAAAAGTGCCTGCATAAAGATGGCTATATTCATGGCCATTTAGAAGTGGGGAAAGAAAAATTAAGAGCCCAATAGGAGTGTTTCGCACACAAAGCCCACAGTAGTTTTCTGCACATAGTCATTCAGGACATGAAAATAAATTATTTTAATTCCACCTTATTTACTATCTGCATACACATCAACACACACATGCATGCAGCCCTCTGTATAACCAACAAGATTCAAAGCATGTAACTAATTTTTTTGTAAAGAAAACTTTCTATTTTCTATCCTGCTTGCAAAGAAGCATTTAATTCCATTCCATTCCACCAACACATAAGGCTGAA